TGAAATCATGTACCATTTGCCTTGAGACGGAGCAACTAGTCGCATCTTTAACCTGGATGTGGATCTCGTCGTCGATCGTGTGTCCCTGACAGAGCGGCACAGGAAACGCGCATTTAAAAGCGCGACTATCGAAATATAACGACATTGAGAGGAAGACAAACAGAGCGAAAGAGAGAAAGCGAAAGAGAGAAAGAGAGAGAGAGGCAGAGGAAGCAGCAGCAGCAGCCAGCAAAGCCATTTAAAGGAAGCTTGTGTCAATATTAAAGGCGCATGGAGTTTACCTTGGAATGTAGTCGCTGCTGCAGTCGATCGCTAATCTTTTGAAGGCGCCGACACAGCAATGATCATCATAAGCGAACGTTTGAGCGCACTAAGCGACATAATTGCTACCGTGGGACGACTGCAGACTGCAGAGCCACAGCCAATGCCAAAAACTCCTTGCTTCCCCGAAACTTAGCCAGTTTGCTTGTTTGCCTGTTTGCCTGTCTGATCTTGGGGCTGCACTGTTCCTGCGATCATTACGGGATGCGCTCCTAATGCGTTCCAATCAAACACACACGAAACGAGCGTATGACATGTTTGTGCATTATTAATCATTATAATATCTGTATAAATGCATAAATGGTAAAAAAAACTGTGCATTGCCCCTTGCAAGTTTGCAGCCAAATTGCAATTTAATGCAAAAATAAATTGCAGTGCCGACTGCAAACGTGAAACTGAAGTTGAAAAGATGAAGTTGGAATTGTAGTTGGAGTTTGAGTTGGAGTTGGAGTTGGAGCTGACCAACCGGCAGCCGAAGCAAGCAGCTCCCATGATTATTGGTCATTTACTTGAGCCGTTTAGCGCATTAAAAAGCACACAACCTCTAAGAATACACACAGTCCCACAGTCAAGTTGTATGCATACAGAAATAATTGACAGTTGAAAACTTGGAACGCAAACTGAAGCTTCAATCCCAAGTTCAAGTCTCAGTCGTGCTCAATTCTGGGCGTTGGATTTGCAGCTGTGACTGTGACTTTAACTCTTTCGCTGTCCCCCCGCCTAACCCTCCATGCACCCGTCCCGGCAACTCCAACTGCAACTGCAACTACATCTGCATCTGTGGGGCGTGTGCATTGCCATGGCGTGCCAGCAAAATTATTCCAATGAGTTGTAGCTGCAGTCGAAGGGTACAGCAAAGGAGGGGCTGTGTGCAACACACACACACACACACACAGACAAATTCGTTGGGGGTAGCGCCTAAGCCTTAAGAAATCAACGCGTTCGCTAATGGGCATCAGCTAGCAGGTTATTACACTTCGAAAAATTATTGGTATTGATTGATATTATTAATCGAAATTTAAATAATTTTAGCAACTGCATCCCAAATAAAATGTTGTTTATTTTCTCATAATAATAATATAATTAAAATAATATAGGAAATGGTCGAATTTCGCAGTTATGATATTAATAATCTAAGCAATCTCATCATATTTTTTATATATATATGTTAAACTTTTCTCTATGACAATAAGTAGGTAGCGATCACCTTCATAATAGTAATGATTTCCACTTATTGAAGACATGATAGATGAGTGAATTCATTTGACGAATAGAGCAGCACATCTGGAACAATGAGGGAAGGTGGCCAAGAGAGCGACTACAAACTAGTTGTCATCCGGCTTTAATTGGATTGATTAACACACATCCACATCATATTAACGATTTATATGCGATTAATACACTTTACAAACTACTCCGAACTCAAGCTGAAAGAACAAAATAAACTATAGCCCAAAGAGATCGAATAGAATGGTACATTGCTTAGACCCTCGAACAGTGACTTTATTATTTACTGAGCAGCAGTTAAGGTTTACTACTATTATAAAAAATTACAAAAACCAAATTATAGCTTTCACAAATTTACGGTTATGCATATTAATACATATAACAATAATAAAATAGAATTGTACTTTATACTTGTGCTCTTGGCATAAAGTTATATTTAATTGGGCAGCTGGAAAGTAAGTTGTTCTGGGATGCCACAGCAAAAAGTCCTGCGGCTGATCAACCAATGACATGATAAGGCATGAATCCGCTTGGCGATTAGATGCCAATAAATGTGGAGATATGCAAACCTAAAGGCGACCAGGGAAATACGAATTTATATCCCAAAGAGCGGTTGTCAAGATAGGAATGATAAACGATTTCTTATTAATTAAATAATTCTTATTTATTAAGCTAATATAATATATAAAAATTGTAGGCATGATAATTAATCGAATGCCAAAAATACTTAATAATAAAAAGTGTAAAAGCGTCAATTGGCAAAGTTATTTATTGTTTATATACGTATGTACAATTGTATATATAAAACAAAATATTAATTACAATTACATTAATTACAAATTTTCTCTTCTTGTCAACGATCACAAAACCGGCAAGTCGGGAATTCTCTTTTTCTACTTAATTTGAAGTGTGTTTAGTCAATTTCAATCGCCTCAAGCTTTTACTTATGACTTTATTAAGGCTGGCTTTTATGCATACAGATAATATTAGATGCAAATTGGAATTAGCTAGATCAGAAGTGTTCTGATTTCAAAAAGGAAAATTGATTAGAAAAATTAAAAGATATCAGCCCATTTCAGCTAAAAGGACTTCAAAGCATAAGCAAAAGGAGCAAAGAGATTATCGGAACTGTTGACCTTAGTAGATGAGAATAAAAATATGAAGAATATGTTGCACACAACGATAAGAAGTGCAATAATTGAACAAGTTCAACTGATCTCAGCTCCAGATTAAATATAAATTGAAATGTAAATATAAACATAAATCAAATCAATGTTGTTTTTAACGCACCTCTTGTGGAACTAACTTATGACGATATGTATCTCAACGGCTTCAATATTAGTTTAATTAAGATCTTGAGCCAACATCCACACCCCTTATAGCTGCAAGTTGCAATTACATAACTTCATTCCCATAGGATAGTCAGGCCGATTCCACACCAATCTTAAAACAAGTCTCTCGCAACGATCGTCAAGTGCAATCAGGCAACTTCAACTATCGCTCAAGGCTATCAGCGATTTGTCAGACTTTACCAGCAAGTTCTGGAAAGGTGCAGTCGAACAGGCCTGAATTTCCAAATCAAAATAAAGAGATACCTGCGAATAATTGCCAACAAAATTACTGAAAATAAAGCGGAGAAAGAAGAAATGACAATCAAATGAGTTGGGAAAAGTGAAACTCATAAGCAGACTGTAAAAAATAAATTGCATATCTAAGTAAATAATGAAACAAACAACAACAAATAGCAAATTATGGGCAACAACAGCAACAACAGCCGCAACGATTACTTCTAAAGCAATTGTGAAAGAACACCCACTCAAAAATAAGCGTTTGCCATATTAACAACAACTGCGAGCGCCAATAACCGGTTAGCATTGTGTGCATGTGTGTGTAACTGATCGCGCTCTCTGCATGTGTGTGTGTTGGTGTGTGTGTGTGTGCTCTCAAGAGATGACAACACTTAACTCACCACAAGACACAAAACGTGTTTCGTTTGCACCTCTACTGGGCACCTGGTTGTGCTCACGCGTGCTCTTGCTCTCAGTTATCGCGACCCTCTCCCTCTTTCTTTCTCTCTCTCTAGCACTCTCTCTGTGTGCGCTGATCGTGTGCCTGCTGCGCTCTTGCACTCTCACTCAGCTGGCTGAGTTTGAGTGCGCTCTGTTGCTGTTGCTGCTTGTTGCTGATGTGTTGGTGAGAGAGAGCCAGTTTTGGGCAGGCGAAAAGGCAACAAGTGAGCGCAGGTCCCAGGTCCGCGCGCCGCTCGCAGAGCAATGGACTTTTAGTTATTCCGTGATCTTTTACCAATATTGTGCAGCGCACACGGCACGTCGGCTGATCGCACAGCAGCAACAGCAGCCAAATCCGCCCCTGTTTTTTTTCAATAAAAAACAAATTATACATTATAAATACATGCATACACATATATTTATTCACGGAAGTGCTGAGGCTGGTGTCAAAAACGGAAACGTCAGCGGAAACACCGCCCAAAAACCTGTGTACCATTGCGAATAGATTCTAACTGTGCTTCTCCAGCCTTAACACTGACAACTCAACTTTGTGTGTTTGTGACAATAACGCCCACCACCAAAAAATAAAACTGTTTCTTTGTGTGGGCCAACAAGCTTTGAAAGCTTTGAAGCGCGTGCGACGCGACGTCATTTGATCCACTCGCCAGAGGTGTGTAGTTCGGGCCGCCCGCCTCCCCGCCACCCCATCCACCACTAACCTCCTGGCAGTGCTGCGAATTGGTTTGTTGTTGTTTGTGTTTGTGTTTGGTGTTGTGTGTTGTGTGTGTGTTTGTTGTTATTTTCCTGTTTGCCGTTTGGAACGTCAAATTCGATTTTTATGACTTTTGAAAGCGTGACTAAGGCGTGATTTATGATGGCGTGTGGTTTTTAATATTCATGTGCAAAGTCAAAAGCCAAAAAGCAAAAACCACGGACAATCCAGCCACAAGACCTGCGTAGGTGCGCCAAACAATAAAAAATACAAAAAATCGAAGCACATCAACAACAATAACAATAACAACAACAACAACAGCAACAGCAACAACAGCAGCAGCAGCAGCAGGCGTTGCATCTTTGTGCCCACGGGCGAAGAAGACTCTGCCTCGATATCCTGCTGTGTGTGCGTGGATCAGTGGTTCAGTGCATTTGGCTCTTTTTATGGACGCAGCGAAGCAATTGACTGCCGCTGCGGCAGCTGGCAAGCACGACAACAACAACAGCAGCCACAGCTGCAACAACAACAACAATAGCAGTAACAAGACCAACACCATGCAAACGTTGCCACAACGAGGCAAGACAACAGCAACAGCAACAACAACCACAACAGCAACAGCAACTGCATCCGACGCCTGCATCAATAAGTCACTTGCAATAGAAGCAACAGCAACAGCCACCAGCCGAAGCAATCAGAGCAGCAACGGCAGCAACAAGCAGCAAACAGCAATGACAACAACAACAACAACGACAAGTGTCGAGCAGCAGCTCAAGTGCAGTCAGCAGAAGACAGAAGCCGAACAGCAATCACCAGCAGCAGCAGGCAAAGCAGCAACTAATGCAACAGCAACTGTTACAGCAGCAACAACAGCAACAGTTGCCACTGCTACCAAATCCAGTGCCGCAGCAATGGCCGCTGCAACAGCAACAGCAGCAGCGGCAACCAATGATCTGGCAGCAGCTGCTGCTGTCGTCCTCTCACTACAGGGCACCATGGTCAGCAGCCTACAGCAAGCGGCATTGCTGCCGGCAAATTCAGCGGCAGCAGCAGCACTCAATTTACAGGCGCTCGAATCGTATTTGGCACTGCAGCGTCTCACTGGCAAATCGGATGTGTTTCGCTTTAGTAGCAACAGCAACAGCAACAGCAGCACCAACAATAACAACAACAACAACAGCAGCTGCAATGGCAACAGCAACAATAGCACGCTGAGCAGCAACAACAGCAACAGCAGCAACAACAGCGATGCTGAACAGAATGCAACATTGCCAGCACTCATTGATTTAGCCAGCATAGAGCTCAAGTCTAGCTGCTCGTCGAGCGCCTCCAGTGTCTGCACAGCCGTTGTCAGCTCACCCAACGCCAGCAGCAGCAACAACAACTCTAGCAGCAACAACAACAATACTAATAGCAACAACAGCGGGAGTGGAAGCACATCGAAATGCATTCCACCGCTACCATCGATAAGTACCGTTAGCGCCGCTGTTGCCGCTGCTGCCGCCGCTGCCGCTGCTGCTGCCAATCAGCAGGCAGCGTTGGATTGTGCCACCGCCGCTGAATTGGCCGCCGAATGCGATTTGCCGCTGCTCGACGGCGAGGATGCGTTGTCCTTTGAGGCGGGCGACTTGGACAGCAGCTATGGCAGTTTCATCTTCAATCCAAACAGCTTTGGCGCCACGGAAGCGGACACATCACTGCACTCGCTGCAGGCGACCATGTACCAGGACAAGCTGAGTGTCATTTCTGCTGCTGGGGGCGGTGTTAGTGGTGCTAGTGGTGGTGCAGAGGATGCGGCAAATAGCTCAACAGCAGCGGCAGCTCAACGCTCCAAGAAGCAGTTCATTTGCAAGTTTTGCAACCGCCAGTTCACCAAGTCCTACAATCTGCTCATCCACGAACGCACCCACACGGACGAGCGTCCCTACTCCTGCGATATATGCGGCAAGGCATTCAGGCGACAGGATCATCTGAGAGATCATCGGTGAGAAAATAAATAAATAATATTTAGCTAGACGATATCGATCACTAAAACTAAAAATCGCTAGAATATCTCAGATGATATTTTTTCTTTCGATCATCAACCGATAAGCTATTTTGTTAATCAGGAGAAATCAAATTAAAAGCTTAAAAAAACAAAAAATTAATTTGAAATATAATTTGTGTAATCTAGAACCAACAATTATCAAATATCAAAAATTAAAATTAGAAAAGTAAGCTGTATTTTTATTCATTAATAGATGCTGAAAATAAGTTAATGATAATTTTTGCCAGTCTTTCCATTTCAAAAGTGTTCTAAGTCAATTTTCTTTCTCTTTTGCCACAGATACATCCATTCCAAGGAGAAACCCTTCAAGTGCGCCGAATGCGGCAAGGGTTTCTGTCAGTCGCGCACTTTGGCCGTCCACAAGATACTGCATATGGAGGAGTCGCCGCACAAGTGTCCCGTTTGCAATCGATCCTTCAATCAGCGCTCGAATTTGAAGACGCACTTACTCACGCACACGGACATCAAGCCCTACAATTGCTCCTCGTGCGGCAAAGTGTTTCGGCGCAACTGTGATCTGAGGCGTCACAGTCTCACGCACAATCTATCGGCAACGGGTGGTATGGGCGGTGGCTTAGGTGATCTGTTTGGTGGCAGCACCAGCAACGGTTCCAGCTCCGATCTGGGTGTATCCATGGTTCTGCCCAGTTCAACGGCCGCAGGAGCGCCAACTCCTTCAAGTACACGTGACTTAGTTGCCGTCAGCGATTGAACTCAATTCGACTTCCCCACCTCTCTCTCCGAAGAAAGGTAGCGACCCTTTTAAATCTCATTTGCAGCTCTCAAGAATTCGAATCCCTCCACAAAATGTGTCTGATCTGTGTTGCTTGTACTCGATGCCTTCAAGTTGCTTACAGCTTACAGCATTTAATTTTAGTTTTAGCTTGTGACTAAATAAAGTTAAGCTAATGATATTTTTAGCTGGTAGTTTATTGAATATTTGAAGCATAGCAATAGGACGAAAGTTTGACTTTATTTGAATATACATATAAAACTATAGTTATAAGTAAATTGTGGACTTTTATCGTAGTTTCGAATAAATAACATAGCTTAATGGAAACTCATTTATATAAAGTGTTTTATTCTTTATCGCCTGGAAGGAGCTTTGGTAAAACTGAAAATAAACTTTAAAAATACGTCTCAGAAGCTTTTAATTCAAGATTGGGGTCCTGCCAAATATGAAGGTTTTATTTTTGGAGAAATTAAACAAAAGCTGTATGAAAACCAGCTGAAAAACTATTGTATTTTTCTTTCAGTAGATACAATAACTTCAATAAGCTAGACAAAATCAATAAATGTTTCTCTGTGAATAAGTGATAATTATGCAAGAATAAATAAATTTACTTTGAAATTATACTATTATGACTTTCAATTAATTTACAAGTTTTGGTATTGGAAACAAATCGACAATGAGTCTATAAGGTTGGGATAGGTTCTGTGGGGATTTCTTTGGAAAGCACCATCCTTTAAGAAAAACGGAAACTATAAATCAATTTTGGGCCCAATTTCTCAAGTATTCTCGAGTGCTTCCTGTTGTGCACCTCTTGTGCATCCCGTTGTGACCCCGTTCCATCCATGTCATTACACCCCCACCCACCCAGTTGTAGTTTCTCACATGTAGTTAACACTATATAAACACTTGTAGCAAACGAGAAATCAAATATTTGTAGCGATGTTTATCGCTCGAGTGCCAACAAGGGCAATTAATGTACCATTAAGGTGTACAAACTCCATCCACAGTCCAAACAAGCCTTTGACAACAGAAATGAACAGAAAACAACAGACGACAAGAGCAAAGAGACAAAGAGGCCTAGCGACTACTCGGCTCGACTTGACTATTTTCCCACCAGAAGTTTCTACCAGAGAGACAAATGAACGTTATCGCCTAGCCAAACAATGTTGAACAAGCCAACGACACGATTTGTAGAGCAGGCGCTATCATTGCCGTACCGCCCACCCAGGTGATGAATACCTACATGGCAGAGTTCGGTTCTCAGAGAACCGAGAGCGAGACGCTTTTGCAGAATTGTGGCCAGCTGCCAGCTGCTAGCTGCCAGCTCGAGTTGCCACAAAGTTAACCATCATTTCTTTTATGATCGACAACACGAAAACGATGCAAGTTCAAAAGCTGATGCCGACCTCTGTGACTGGTTAGGGTAGCTCCGTCTCTTTTTTGCAGTTCGGTTCGCTGTCTCGTTTGGCGTTTTTTCGTTGCGTTTGTCAATCGTTAAACGGATCAATGTAGAGCCGCCTGGAACGACACAGCGGTGTTGCATTTCCTGCGCCAGCTTCAACAAACCAATTACAACGATCAAACAACAATTATGGTACACAGCTCTTGACCAGCTTAAGACCTGCCCACCACCTTGCCCCGTTACCCTTTTCCTAACCGTTAACTCTTCACTTGCTGTGGCAACAGTTAAACACGAACTGCGCACGCTGCTCTCTGCAAATATTTGCGCGGATATTGTTCTATTCAATGGAACAAGCACGGAACGAGACATGTCCCAGCACCGACAACGTTTTGGGCCATTAGCCAAAGAGCTCAACAGCGGACAGACTGTGGACTACACTTGAAAAAAATATGACCAAAACTTTAGAAAACTGCCCTAATAAATTATCATTATTATTATTTCTTTCGAATTTTAAGTTTAGCAATATTTTATACTAAGCGATAAATTATTTACGAAGCATATAAATTGAAAAAAGAAGAAACACTCAAAACACGTTAGAAACGTGAAGCAAAATACAAATCCAACAATAATTTAACTTTATCCATATTTATGCAATTTATAGAGAAGAAAAACTTCCGCAACAGCAAAATGTTTAAGGAATCTTTCTGAAATATCTAATTATTTCTGAAATATCTAATTAAGATGTGTTTCCCGAATTCGATAATTTCGTGGCCATATTTGGAGTTTTTTTGAGTGCATCGACGACAGACTCCAGCTGGAATGACTGCTCTTCCCTCGGCTTGGGTTACAGTTTGAAGCAGCGTCTCTGCGAATTGCCGGCAATTTCACACTTTATGCGCGACGGCTTCATTTCCAGCTCCAACTCCAACTCTAACTCCAACTCCAGCTCCAGCCTCGAGTACCGAGGTCCGAGCTGAAGCGGTTCGAGGCGCGTGCGGGCGAGCGGATGTTTAAACATTGAACGCTGGGCCTGGGCCTGAGCCTGGGCATGGGCATGGGCATGGGCCCGGGCCGGGGCTCGTATATTGATGGGAAAATTATGAAATTCATTGTTTGTGTTTGACTAATAATTATGACAGCAAACGCATTGTCGTCATAAAGCCACAGAAACAGCTACAGCGAGACTAGGAGTGAGCGCACTAAATTTCGCTTTGAGGTTTCCGCAACGCCCCATTGACAATGTCCAGAGTGACTTTGGCCTGGACGCCATTCAGCTCTCTCGCACCGACTGACTCTAATAAGCCCATCACTAACCAGCAACAGCAGTGGCAGCAGCAGCAACAGCAACAGCAACAGTTCGATCTGCAACAACAACAATGTTGTCTAGTGCTGAGGCGTGGCAACTTTTTTTTGGTTTGGTTTGGTTTGGTTTCTTTGAAGTTGCTCGCAAGAGTTGAAAATATTTTCGTTGTGCTTGTGAAATTTTGTTGCGTTTCCCGGAACCAACGCAAAAAGCGGAACGTTCTTGTTGTTGTTGTTGTTGTTATTGCTGTTGGGTTTTGGGTGAATGTGAATGTAAATGTCATGACGCTGACTATATGAACGTCTGGTCTGGGCAGGCCAGTTAGTTGTCGGCACCATTTGCTTTATGATTTGATGTATGTGTGTCTGTGCCCGAAGGAGGCCCCACCAACCCCGACAACCCGTCAAAGCGCCAATACTGACGGCACCTCAATAGGGAACGAATTCATGTTTGCACAGCGCTGATGTGCGTACACTCAAAAAAAAAGTTGCAAGTAAAGTCGAAATTTGGTAAGATCATCAAATATAGTTTTTGACAATTGCAATTAATTTCAATTTGCATTAATTGCACAAAATGCGTTTAGTTTTGACAATATTATGGATCCGTCCGAGAAATCGATTTATTGCTCAGCATTTGTACATAAATTTCGAACAAAAATCGTGTTTTCCAATTGAATTGAAATATTATGCCGGAGGTCAAACTGCGATTACAAATCGGTTCAGACAGTTTGGATCCGTGGTTGGAATTTTATATTAGGTCATACTTTCTTTTGAGTGTTGGTCACTCGCTCGCAGGGAAGAAGACCAACCGGAGACCGCCGCTGGCGTTCCCACTTCCCTTCTCTTCACCAACACCAACACCAACACCAAAAACACCAACAATACCAACAACAACAAAAAGACACAAACTCTAACTCAAACTCAGAGTTGGACTTCAACTTTGACGAGTTACTGCGCCAACGTTTGACGAAACGTAAATTATGCGGCGTTCTTGTGCCTAATTAGGTGTCGTATCGTAAACGTTTTTATATATTGGAGGCACACACACCAAGTTGATGGGCAGCCAGAGGAAGACGCAATGTGTTGGCCAGGCAAACGTGTTACCAACTCGTTCGAACCACAAGAGGAAAAGGTGGGAAAAGTTTTAGACATGGTTGCAAGCTGTAAAATTTTTAACAAGGAGTATATTGGGGGTATTGCGATTATCTGTGAACTAACTGAGCTACAGCCGTATCCAAGGTCAACACATTAATTATCATAAGAGCATAAAACGGTTCTAACACATTTTCTGAATGCACAAAGTCCAAAGATGGGATCTCTAACCTCATTCAATTTCCCATAAATTAGAGTACGAACAACGCTTTGATGAAGATAGAAAGTTGTAATTGATTTGATCTGTTCTTATTGAGTTTGCACTGGTCATATATTTTGAGAGAGAGTTTTATTGATCTCAACTTGCTGACATCTTTTTTATTTGTATATAAGTTAAAGATTTAATCAGTGGACCAAGGAGATCTAGATCATCAACTATATATTTGTTTTCTAAGGAACAGATTCGTGGCATGTCAAGCTTCTAGATTAAATAAAAATTCAGCTGGAAGTTAAAAACTATTAAGTTGTTTCCATATGTCTTGACAACGTAGACTTTTTTAACATGACTCTCTACCTCTTAGTTGGCTTAGCTTGGCTGAGACATGTAAATGTAAAGTGTACAACAGATTTGCCAAACGTCCATAAAGAAGGAGAGGCACAATTTCTGGAACTGGCAGCCAACTAGTATTCTCTGTGGTCTCTGGTATTCAACTGCAGTACGCTGCTGTTGCTGGAGAAGAAAAGCTGCCGAAACTCGTGCAAATGAATAGATAGACCTTGCTTACGCAGTGCTTATACAGTATGCCTAGGAGAGGTAATTAGATTTTATTGGATGGTGCAGTTTATGCCGACGGTAAAGCTTGGCCCGGGGTTATGGATGGAAAGCCAAAGCGGGTATATTCCAAGGTATGCACACTCTTACAAATATATATACATATATATATAAATATAAATATGTATATATATAATATGTATTTGTGTGTGTGTGTGCTTGTAGTACCTTCTAAATATATACCCTATAACTGTTGCGCCTTGATGCAGCCGACTCGGTTGTTGGGCCGCATTTTTTATGACACTCAGGGCGCAAATGTAAACAAATGTGACAAATGTTATACGGCTAAGTATTTCAAGTTGAGAGTAGTTTCTACAATATAATTGACAGGCAATGAGCTCTGCAGTTTCTTTTTTTTTCTTTTTTTTTTTGGATAATCACACTCTTTTCCTCTGTCTCTTTCGCTCTCTCTCTTTCTGTTGCTCGTCAGTATTTGCCCTGGGCTTGTTTGACAAGTTCGCGGCACGTAGCACGGAGCAGTCGCTGGCAACGAGTTGTGTACTACACATAATCATCAAACAGAACTCACAACTGAATAGAGAAACAAGTCAGA